GTTTATATATCTGGATATCAATTACGTGTTTTTCAACTTCAATTCAGTTGAGAAGAAGTATTCCATAGTTATCCTCATTGATGTAAGTAAATATGGGATCGGTGTACTATTTATAATTGTGATTATCTTCTTTCGCATCATTATCTATGGTATCGTAACCAATACTCAATCAAGCAATGCTAACAGTAAGGTTCAAAGTGGGGCAACTCATTAGTTCGCCCTTTACTAGGTCAACTGACCGAATGGAATTGGTTAAAGCAATTATGGTATTCGTTAAATGAACTTACTAAGCTGAAGGTGGATTGGGAATAATGAGTAAACATTCTGACCAATAACAGTTACGTGTCGAAATTGAAGATTTCCTAGACAATGATTTGTTGTCAATTAACAGTTAAGTGGTTCTATAGCAGTAAAATTTTAGTACGTATGCTATTCGTAGAACGGGCGAACTATTTAACATAGTTACCGAAGGAGATCTATGTTGTTGTAAAAAAGATGAGAAGTAACATTTCGTTATTGCTTTATTGCCAGTAAAGTACGGAATGTTAAATTCATGACAAAATCAGATGCAACGGTAAAAGCTAGGCAAACATAGCAAATGCTCAAAAACTGAATAGTTATGCGAAGCAGTGTTCAACGTACTTAAAATCGTAATTATACTAATAATTTTCCAACCATGTGACCCATCTGGTACCGCATAGCGTGACCGCATGTCCTTCATTAAATATTTCCAGCTACCCGTGAAAGTCGGAGATATCACTAATTGTTGCTCCAGATTGAGTTTAGCCGCTCAGTTTCAGAATTAGGTTAATATGAATCATTTCGGAGTATTAATCCGCTTATGGTAAACTGTAACGGTGGCCATAGCGGATTGAATGATACAAAATGGGCAATTTTATTTATGAAACATCAGGCGTACTTTTGATATTGTATCTAAGTACGTGGTTTCTACGAAACCTTTAAGTTTGATTGTTTGAGTTACAAATCTAAATATCATGCACGTCTGTAAAATTGTACTACACATGATATTTCCAGATTTTCAAAGAATATTTAGATATAACTGTACAACACTTCATTTTCGTCTTGCATCTCATAACTTGAACCATGGTAAATCACGGACAGCGTTGGTTTTGGGCCAAGGTCCGACTCCGCCCTGTCTGGGCATTTCATTAGGCCACTGGATCTGCAGAGGGTCGTCTGTTTTGTAATGCCACTCCCTTGATTCGTGTGATAGTATTGACATTTAATAATCGAATGAAAAATAGTTTTATCAGTCATTTGTCACTTAGTACACAGAAAAAAAAAGGATTTTTACTAATAAGAAAGAGCAATTTCTCAAAATATTTGCTAATTCTGAAAAAATATTTATCAAAAGCAATAAAATATTGTCATTACAAAAAATACTGCTCATCTTTTTCTAATACAATTTTACTCTTAACTTTATTCTAACTTTTAGACAAATAGTTATAAATTAAGTGAACGCACTTCAAGATTTTATTTCATTTCTAATCAATTAATTGGACATTATACATCAAGAAATTATTACCTCTTACATCAAATTTAAATACTCTTAAATGAATTCAAAATTTCTTGGGTGTATTTTAAGAAAATATATTCTTAAACAAAAAAGGAAATAGTTTGCTATTCAGATTAATATTCTAAATTCTAGAGTATATTCTTAAAGCAACATTTCGTTGCGTTTTCATAGTGAATGTTGTCGTGACATGTCGCCGAAGGCGGTAACTATTACTTTTACTTGTGCTTGTAATCATAAAAATCATAAACATCTACAATCGGTATTCACAAGCCCGGGAAACCTCCATCTGAACCCTCCAGTTACCGTCCCATCTCCCTGCTTAACACCATGGGCAAACTCTATGAGCGCATCCTATACACCCGCCTCAGAGACTACGTCATGTCTCACAATCTCCTCCCCGACGAACAGTTCAGTTTCAGAGCTAGGCACTCATGCGTCCAGCAAGTGCACCGGATAGTGGAACATATCTCCGAAGGTTTCGATCGCCCCCGCTTCATGCCCACTGGCGCCCTCTTCTTCGATGTGGCAAAAGCTTTCGACAAAGTCTGGCACAACGGCTTACTTTACAAGCTGTACAATCTCGGCGTGCCTGATCGTCTCGTGCACATCATTCGTGACTTCTTGTCGAACCGCTCTTTCCGCTACCGAGTTGGGGGCGCACTCTCCTCCCCTCACCCCGTAAGAGCTGGAGTCCCGCAAGGCTCAGTCCTCTCGCCTCTCCTATTCTCCCTGTACACTTGCGATATCCCGAAGTATCAGGCAGTAAATCTCGCCCTCTTTGCCGACGACACTGCGCTCTGCTATTCGGCGCGCAGCTCCAAGCTAGTTTCCGCGGCTCTCCAATCTGCCACCACACGCCTAGGCGAGTGGTTTCGCAGATGGAGAATCGAAGTCAATCTCGACAAAAGCACGGCGGTATTCTTCACGCGAAGTAACCTATCCAGTCGTAGGGTACAAAACCTCACCCCGATCTCGCTCTTTGACCGCCTAATCCCTTGGGTGAACACGGTCAAATACTTAGGAGTTACGCTCGATAGGAAGCTGTCATTCAAAGCACACGTGAAAACCGTCCGCGATCGCGCCCACTTTGTTATGAGCCGGCTCCATCCCCTTCTCAACAAGCATAGCAAACTCTCCCTTCGCAATAAGGTGAGACTGTACCTGCATCCGCCCAATCATGACGTACGCCAGCGTCACATTCGCTCAGGCAAATCCCGCGCTAATACACCGCCTGCAGGCTCTCCAAAATAGATTGATGCGCAACGCGACTGGTGCCCCGTGGTACCTGCGCAACGCTAACCTCCATATAGATTTACGGCTCCCCACAATAGCCCAATTCATGAAACAGGCATCGAGGAAATACTTCGACTCTGCTCCTCACCACCCCAACCCCCTCGTGGTGGCTGCATCTTCCTACGACCCCCTCAGGGAACAACCCCACCGCGTACGTAGGACTCGTCGGCCAAGGGAAGTCCTCAACGACCCTGACGACCTTATCATTCTCGCCACTTTGAAGGCCAACCAGATCGCTAGTCAGTCTCGTCCCTCACGCACCAACCGTCCTCGCCGGCGAGGTCGTCGAGCCCCTCATTTCAGCACGTACAGTGGTAGATTTTCACCTACAGCACGCCCTTCTGGCGGAAGTCTCCAGTAGCGCCCTGAGCCGAGGTCCGTGCCCGCTTGGGCGCCCTCAGGCCCGCTACTTAGCTTTAATTTTATTTTAGGGGTTATGAGCCTTCAGCTCGCCCTTTTTCTCCGGTGGCGCAGTAAAGGCCATCACCGGCCAAGTGCAAAATATCATTCATAAAAAAAAAAAAAAAAAAAACATTGTTAGTGCCTTCTGCCGCTGTAGAATTTATACGGCACAGACTGGTACTCAAGTATTTGAGAAGATTCCTTTCTATTTCTACTTTAAGGTTTGGCACTGAACTGTGTGTTTTCGCGCCAGTGAGACATACTGTTGGGTCCATAACCCTGTAAATTTACCCTTTTTGATATTAGAAAACATAAATTTCAGTGAAATAATTAAGTACCTCTCAATTTTTCATTCCTTTTTTATCAAGTCAAAATCGGACATTTCTAATAACTAATAAATATTTTGATGAATCTAGAGTGGCTTTGTGACTTGAAGTAAATTAATTTGCTCTTGGATTAAATATTTCTGTCTTTTAAAAAAAATACACTTTTGAGACGTTTTTTTTACTATTATCAAGTAATTATTCTCTAGTGTCTATAGGGAAAGGGTCGTTTTGTTGGATTTAATAAATTTGTCTTCATAAAAATAATTTTGTCTTTTTCTAAGTAATCTGATTTTACCGTGTAGGGAATCATAAAGGAAACAAATCGGGAAGGGTATGTGTGAAATGGTGTAATGGGCCAACGCCAAGTGCGCTCTATGTATATGTACCTTCACCTTAAACATTGAAAACCGAGGGATATCGTTAAACAAAAATATCTTACAGTTAATAATAGGCTCCTAAATAGTAGTGATTGAAAGACCCTCAAACTAGGTCAAAACGTGTTAGTTTTATTGCCACAAACGGATGATGTCGACGAGATTTTGCACTCAACTTTTCGTTTACAAATTGGTGTAACAAAAGTTTTACGGTGTTTGACACAGTTACCACCACTTTATGGGAATGACGTGGACTTTTAACACAGAGCTGCTGTACATAATAATGCGCTTTGTCTCACTGCGGGCTAAGGAGAAATGTGTAATGACGTATAAATCTTGCTTAAGCGTCACCTTTTTCAGACTTTGCTATCGCACATATCAGCTGTCGCATTACAGCGCCCACTATAAGCTTATTAAAATAAGAAAGCCGTCAATGACTCAAACCGGGAAGTTACCGTCTCAAGCTCGCAGATTACAAGACACATATTTCGCGTGGCGCCGTCTTAAGAACAATATGTTATTGTATACCGTGACTCAGACCGCTATCGCTTTCGTATCGGTTCCAAATCATGTCGAATCATTGTGATAATGATTAGCATACGAGTACTCGTCTGTCGAAGAAAGTGTAACGCCTACAAGTTACACCAAATGTAAACAATGGATGTGCTCATTTGTACTGAAGGGCAAACACGTTTAAATCCTGCTGTAAATTCTCAATGTTTGTTCTCTTTTCGAGAATATCATTCAAAGTGACACGAAAGTTTATCCACCCTATGGGGTCAAAACTCTCCGAGGTGAGAATTCGTCAGTCGAGTGGGTTTTTATTATTTTTGCACTTTTTAGCCGGTGTATCGAGTTTCTTTGCTCGATCGATGACCGTTACGAATTAAACCGGCTCCCGTATTACGCGTACCACTTGAAACCATTACATTGGATAAACGAATACGGTTTTTGCGCTCGCCAAAGCCAGTGGAATCTTTTGCTAAACCAAACTACGTTCTTATATGAAAAAGAAAATTGTGGTATTATACATTTAGCAAAGTATAAAAGACATACAACTGGACGTACCTGAATATCTCTCCTCGGCTGTGGCAACCGCATCACAGGCTGTGGAACTGGAGCAGGCATTCTCGCTGGCGGTGGCGCCACCGCTAGGTGAGCAGGTATTTGCGGCGGTAGCGCCGGTCTTGGACCTTGCACCACTGTCACTGAAGGCATCAAATGCGGAGGTCGCCGTTCGACAGGCCTCTCCATCACTGCTAAACTTTGAGAAGTTCGAGGATCCGAACAACGTTCCATCAGCCCCTCCATATATCCTTCTTGCACAGGTCGTCGCTCTACGATAGTAAGAGTTTCGGGCTGTATCTGCCGGCGCTCAATACGCTCTATACTATCTGGTCTATAAACTTCGGGAGCTGTATGTGGTCTCCTATCAGGAGATAGGTATTCAGACTTTTGAGCTTTGGCTCGTTCGACTATGGCAAGGTGTTCGGAGGGGCGAATGAGGCGCGGTGGGGCGGGGAGGACAGCTACTGCGTTTTCGGGGACCTGGTTGCGGGGACGTGGCTCCGGCGGCCGTGAGGACTGCCGCGGCAGAGGCGCAGGCGCCGTCGCGCGCCGTGCTCTCCCCGCCTTATTTTCGTCCGTCATCGGAGCGCGCCAATCTGTTGACAAAAGTAATTTTGTTAATTACCCCACATGCATATATAGGTACTCGAAGTACAGAAAATGCTATTCGGCAATCTACACCAATATACATCCTACATCACATGGTACATCAATGTTATTGCAATAATAAAAAAATGTTATTTCAACTGATGGCTTTCCCCAATCAATCAAGGAGGAATTAAACGAACGTCAAAAAACTTTATGTTCCTAAACAAATAAGAGAAAATCGTGCAAAGCATCTGTCCCTATCGAAAAGTACTTGAGCCAATGAAATAACGATATATCACGCAATCCAACGGTCCTCCCATGTGCGGTCACATTATCGGTATGAATCACGAAAAATATCTATATAATCGAATATTTATTTAATAAAAACACACTATGGTTCTCACTATTTATTTGAGTTGATTGAAACTTGAAAGCATTTACCAAAAACGCAACTTCTTAATTTATGTATAATAACAATCTTTCAACATTGACCTATTACTTAATTTTACTTCTGAACTTAAGTTTGTTAATCAATTACATAGTAATAATTATTAACTTTGATAGGTATTAATTTTATTGGGATTTAACCAAAGTATAATATTGAATGACCGGCATAATTAAGCAGAGCGCCATCTGTTCGTAACGCGCGGAACTTGGTAGGAGTTTAGTGCACTTGTTTATGAAACATTGATGCGAGTCAGACCGCGATGCGGCGACACCGACTGTGCGAATGTTTGGCGAATGCACTGTCAATATAGTAGCTCGATTAGTTCTTTGTATTTAAATCTGTAATAAACGTTTGTTATCATATTTTTGGTTTGTTGTTATGTGTATGTTTTGCTCTAATATGCAATATTTATACCAAAATTATTTGGGTTACTTTTTAACAACACTAATTTATTTACTTCCTTGTAATTTGATAACTTATTTACTATATAGTTATTATACAGTTATATTAGTAGTATAATATATTAATCTTTTTACATTTACGTGTTCAAGTATTTATTGACACAGCTAAAACGTTTAACAATCCAAATCCATACATTTATCCACACATTTCCAACTCATTTTGCTTTGTTTAGTTTTTGCTTTGTTGGTATAATATCTGATGGGAAATTCAAATCAGGTAGGTAGGTACTACAATAATTTAGTGTTATGCGCCGCTATTCAGGTCCTTATGCTAAGTAGGTCGTTCATGGAATATGGAATGATTAAGTCTTCTTTTTATATTTGCAGAGTACTTTTGAACAAAATATAATTAAATTAATAAAAACCAGGTTACTAATAACTGGTTGGCATTTTGTGAGACCATTGCGTGAACAAAAATACTAAGAATCTTTAATGAATTGCACTCGTATATGGTAGCGTTTTCCTAAAAACTCACTGTTAAACATAGAAATATTTAAGAGTAAAGATTACAGTATAGATTAAAACAGGTTCAAGATGCAATTAAAACAACCCGAAGTGTCTAACAACCAACCATAATACACAAAAATGCCTCGATTTATTTGAATCCTACTAGGGCGATGATTTTTAAGTCGCTCGTGTGTAGTAGACGCTTACTGTTTTCTCAAAATTCGTGTTTAAAAAAAATAGATTTAGATCAAGGTTCAGCTTGGTTCACTGTTTTTGTAATGATATATCTAGTTATATTTTACCTCACAGTGAAGGTGACATGTAACGGCGCTGCTTTTATACGAAAAGATTTGCACATTTACGTCCAAATGTTACGTATTTGCTTTTAAAATGTTACATGTGGTATGGGGTAATAGTAGTAGATACGTTAGTGTCATTGTAACAGCAACATGTTTGAACTGATTAAAAAATAAAATGGGTAGCCTATTTAGGTCCCTCTGCTGAGCACAGGCAATGCAGAAGGCTTGGGCTGTAAGTTGCCACACAGACCCAATTGCAAAATTCACACGCATCCACGAACAAAATGTGTTGTTTAGAATGATGTTAGTAATATAATCTTGCGAGGTTGTTAGTATTTAGTAGCAGTAGAGAGCTCCTTGTGAAAGAGTTCGTCCAAGGAAGTACTGCCACCTTACCTATTTCTGCTGCCAAGCTGTAATGTCAGCATTACTGTGTTCCGGTTTTGAGAGTGACGGGCGCAGTGGCAGTGTCCCTTAGATCGTTGCGATTTAGAGTGCTAGAATTTCGGTAAAAACTCTCGAGTGGCACTGCAACTGCTATGGACAGGCGTGTAGCTTACCATCAGGCGCACGACTTGTATTTGTAAAATAATACTAATAATAATAAGTACTCTAAGTTACACAACGAGGGTTATGGAAATTGTACTCCAACTTGAATTACTCGCTGCGGCAGGTTCGGCTAGTACAACTGAAGGGAATTAATTAGGTGCTAATTACGAACATCCTGTACGACGAGTTGTGTTTGTTTAGCTGATAGAAATTTATTAAGATAAGTCATCTTTTATTTATGAGTGTTATAAAGGTAATGTTTCAAGTTTTATAAGTGAGAATACGGTATTATACGGCAAAATTTTGCGTAGCATGGCGTTGAAGTTAAGCGGGTGATGGTTTAAAAAAATTAAAGCATATAGCTTATATTGAACCATTTTCAACCGTTTGTTTACATCCTTTGTTCCCACTAGGTCATTGAACTACTAGAACAATTATTTAATATATCATGTGTCTATTAGAGAACTGCTGGGATTTCTTAGTCGTAGTTTAGTGAAAAAAAAGATTCCCAGTATTCATATTGCCTTAGTTTTACTCGTATTATTCAAATATCTACCACCATTTTGAGTTGCATATAGCTCCTTGTGAAAGAGTGCGTCCAGGTTAGTCCTGCCATCTTACCTATTTCTGCGGCCAAGAAGCAATGTGAGCATTACTGCGTTTTTGTTTGCTAGTGAAATTATAGGCACTTGGGATTTGTCAACTTATGTCTCGGGGTGCGGCTGCAGTGGCAGTGCCATTTTGATCTTTGTGATTTAAAGCTGTGAATGTGAGGCACTGCAGTAATAAAAAAAACTTTGCCAAATGCATTAATAAAAATGTATTAATTTTTAAGCTGTTGTTCCGGGCCTTTTATTTGTGTATTTTGTTCTTGTGTGCATTAAAGAGTACTTGTGATATTTTGAGCCCAAGTAAACAGTACAAGCGTGACCAAGAACACAATCCCATTATTAAGCCATGACATCGAATATATAACCAGAAATAGAGACGAAATATCATTTAATTTGTTTGATAACTATTCATTAGGTACTGTCACAACTGGGCTCCGATAGGCCCGAAATCGAAACAATTGACGGGTGTCGTCAATTGTTTTACTTCAAATCGATCAGTTTAACTTGAGCTTTGCTATAATGGACGAAAATTGCAAAATTACATATTTAATTACCGGTGAAATGTGATTCCGTTTGTTTTGGAATTAGATGTTTTGCTGTTTTTCCCACACCACCGAATGGAACAGCCCCAATTGTTAGAGATATTATCTTTATTACAATAAATACAGAATATTTTCATCAACATATCGATAATAATGAATAATACACACCTCGAGAAGTCAAACTGTTTAAAATAAAACTGTAAGGTTCAAACACAAACACTTAAAACCAAACACTATCTGAGCACTTGACGTAGTAAATTGCAAAAGTAACTGTAACTTGCAAAATACTTGTCGATACTGGAATATTTATCGCACCAACACTGGTAAGTTAAATTCAAGTACAATTAACGGGTTTTTGTTAAGCATTTAAAATTAGAATTAACTATAAAAACACGATAAATGAAGACACAAAGAAAACGGTAACGCGGAAATTGTAGGTGCAACGATTGCCATGACAACACTGCGTCGAAAGTGATTTTCCCTCCAAAATTGACGCATGCGCGTTGCAATACAAATTTTACAAACTTATGTACATTTACAGAAGACAATTTTACACCTTAATAGTAACGTAAAAGAGAGGTTTAAGGTGGTAAATATATGTTGCTATGAAAAGGGTCGCGTGTTCAGCCCCACGCAACATTTTCTGATGATAGCCTCCAGTAGCAATTTTCCTATTGTTATTAAAATATAGTATAAGTATAGTTACGAACATGGGGTGATTGTAGCAGGGAAATGCGTCTCATTTCCTCCGTGCGACAGAATTGGTTTTTGTATCATTTGGAGGTTTCGACGTCTCTGCTTGCAGTTTGCGTAAGTAAATTTATTTTGATTAAGTTGAAACCTTATTAAGTGTTTTATTAAGTGTCAGGATGTTTCACCATCATGATATTCAATTATTTTTTGTGAAATTACTTCACTAGTTTGTTATAATTATTAATACACAGATCGAACACTTAGAAAAAATTCCTTCGATCCGGCCGGATTCGAACCGACGTCTTCCAGCAAACCGTATCAGACGCTATGCCAAGTAAGCCACGGATCGAACCAGCAGACTTCAAGAATTCTCTTACGTCTTTGTTATCGAATCTTTACATCTGGTTTTTTAACGACTTTTTAGCCATAGCGCCACGTACGAGAAATCTATGAAAGTATTTCGTCAACCAGTTAGGCACCTTTACAGCTACCAGCTCTGGCTAGAGATGACGCTATTTACTGCAATTAATGTTTTATTGAATTGAGACCTAATTACCTGACCGAAAGAGTTGTCGGTTGAGGATTTAATTTTTTAAATATAAATTAATTTTTTTCTTGCGTACAGATGAATAAATTAAATCATATTTGTGGTGCATCATAATATACCAGATATGATGCAAATTACCATGTCTCGAACTAGGGTGTTCCCTGTACTATGAGTGGATAATTTTCAGATCAGTTTTTCTGTACCTTATTTTGGTGGCAATTTCTATTACCTAGTTAATATTGTAGGATATTATCATGAAGTATTATTTAATATTTGAGTGTAGTAACCTGAAATATTTACCGAAATATACACCACGTTATACACACCGAAATTCGGTAGAGAAAACTTACATGCCAAAGTTACCCAAGTACTATAGTAACGAAATTTACACAAATGAAATAAAATTCAATT